ATAACACCATCAGGCAAATATTTAGTCTTGTAAACCCATTTGTTTCCAATTACATTCTTGTCTAGTGGCCTGGGAACTATGTCCCAGGTGCCATTGGCATCCAGAGCAGACATTTCCTCATTCATGGCTTGGTTCCAGATCTCATGTAGGATAGCCTCTGCATAAGTCTGTGGTTTTGGTATAACAGTGATAGAAAGAGAGAAATGTCTGTGAGAGGGAGACAGTTGATCATAATTGAGACAATGGCTAAGTGGATAGAGGAGTTTAGAATCATGAGAAGGTGTAGAAGAGGTAAGAAGACTGACATGATAGTCAGAAAGATGAGATGGTTGTTTGATTGTTCTGGAAGATTTCATGATGGCTATGGGAAGATCCAAGGCAGGAACCTCTGGAGATGGAGGTGGAGAAGAAATAGGTAAAGGAGAAGGAGAATCATGAGGTGAATCTGGGGCTTCAGAACCAGATGAGGAAGAAGGAGAGTAGTCTGGATCTGTTGTTTCATGAACGTTGTGATCAACTGGTAACACAGGTTGTGTTAAACCATCAAAAGAAGAATTATAAGGAAAGAAATCACTAGAAGAATTAGTGACAGGAACAGACTTATGAGCAGAAGCTTGAGATTGCTGGAAAGGGAACACTTCTCCATGAAACACAACATCCCTGCTTACAAACACCTGATGATTATCCAAATAATACAACCTGTATCCCTTGATATCAAAGGGGTAACCCAGAAAAACAGCCCTTCTAGCTCTAGGATCAAACTTCCCCTTGTGATCATCCAACACAGTAGCAAAGGCCATACAACCAAAAACTCTCAGATTGTTGTAATCTGGAGGCACACCATAAAGACACTCAAAAGGTGACTTATTGTCTAGCACAGGTGTAGGAATTCGGTTTATCAAATATGCTGCATTAAGCACAAAAAAGCTCCAGAAACTAACTGGCATACCATATTGAATTTTAAGTGATCTGGCAACATTCAGCAAGTGCTGATGTTTCCTTTCCACCCTGCCATTTTGTTGTGCAGTCCTCACACAACTCATCTGATGCAGGATTCCATTTTCTTGGTAAAAACTTGCCATGTTAAATTCATGGCCTTGGTCAGATCGTATGATCTTAATGGATTTCTCAAACTGATTCTTAACCATTAAACAGAAAGACTGTAATAATTGTCTGGCTTCAGACTTGCTACTCATCAAAAACAACCAAGTGGATCTGCTATGATCATCCACTACTGTCAAGAAGTATTTAAAACCATCCAAAGAAACAACATCAACTGGCCCCCAGATATCCACATGGACTAAGTCAAATACAGCTTTACTTCTAGACTCACTTTGGGAAAAAGGTAAACGTTTCTGCTTTGAGAGTTGGCAAATCTCACAATGAGAAGAAGAAGGTAAAACAACATCACTACAATGTTTTTGAATAGACTGTAATCTAGGTAAAGACAAATGCCCTAGTCTTGAATGCCACAAGGCTGACTCCTGACTGGTTTTCACTCCACAAGCTTGGTGTTTGATGGATTTGGTTGACTCCTGAGCTTCACTCCCAAGCAAGTATAGCCCTCTATCTACCCGGATTGAACCAATCTTCTGTTGCGAGATTAGGTCCTGAACACAACAGAAGTTTGATTCAAATAAAAGTGAGACAGGTGTATTTTTGGTTAACTGGCTGACAGAGATGAGATTGTAAGAAAAACTTGGTACTAAGAGGACACTGGTCAGGAGTATCCCACAAGGGAGTTTAACTAATCCTACATGTGTAAATCTAGCCTTTTGAGCATTAGGTAGGTTCACATGCATGTTTTGAACTTCCTGACATCTTAAGAACAAATCCTTATTTCTAGCACCCATACAGCAGAAGCAACATTCTCAAGGTTGATAGTGAGACAAGTGCTACCTGAAACAGTGTGTCGAGAAGCAGTGGGATGAGTAGTAACATAGTTGGATTGAGGGAACTGAGTAGTGAAACTGGCTGATTGCTGCAGAAGGCTTCTGAGTCGAGTAATTTCATCAACTGAGAACCACAGAGATTGCCCCTCTTGACTGTTTCTCTTGTCATATGCAGGACTAGTAGGACTCTGTGCACTACCACTTGATGAATTCATACTATCACCTGGACTTATCTCAACAGACCCTGTAAAACTCTTACCACCAGCTTCATTTTTCCTTTTTTTCAACTTGTAACAGTCTTCAATCATGTGATTATCCTTCTTGCAATAACGATAGAACCGCTCTTGCTGTGGCTTCTTACTGTCTCTACCACCTTCTCTTCTATCATCCCTTCTCGGATTGGAATAGTTAGAAGGTGCAGCAAGAGCAATGGAATCTGTTGTGGTCTTGGTCTTAGCAGTACCCATCTGCCTCTCAAGCTGAACAACAGCCCTGTACACTGTGTCCATGTCAGGCAAAGGATCAAGCATAAGCATCTGGGTCTTAACCTGTTGATAACTCTCATTTAACCCAAGCAGGAAACGGATAACTCTCCTCCTATCTTGGTATCTAATCACAGTCTCATAAGTTCGAGAAGGACAATCACAAAACGGTATAGGTTCATAATGTTGTTGTTCATCCCAGCATAGCTTCAGGTTGGTGTGATACTGCCTAACCGTTTGGTTGCCTTGTTTGGCCAAATCAATTTTCTCCTGCAGGTTAGCGATTCTAACAGAATCACCTTGACTGAACTTCGATTTCAAATACGTCCAAGCCTCAGAAGAAGATCTGATGTTTCTCAGACTGGGTACAATATCTTCATTCACAGAATTGCGAATCCAGCACAGAATAGTACCATTACATATATCCCAAGTACTACGAGAAGGATCATTCTCACCAGGTACCTTAACTGTGCCGTCGATGAAACCCCATTTGTTTTTGGTACGAAGAGTGACCTCCATGGACTCGCTCCAAAGCAGATAGTTGTCATCGTTGAGCTTGAATCCGATGACTGGAAGAAATGAGTTGTCACTCGTAGCAAGGTATAGTGGGTTGGAATAAGGGTCCTCATATCGTGAGGCTAACGTCTTTCCTCCATCAGAACTCTCCTCACCCGCCATTGTTGGAAACGGAAATCAGAGCAGAGCAGTAGTATTGTAGTGAAAATGGAAGAAAAACGAGGAAGAAAGAAGGATCAGAAGCCTAACCAGGCTCTGATACCATGAGAAAGTATAAAACCCTAGGGAAGGATTAGGGTTCCTGAAGGGAATGTGTAGAGAGAATCGGGAAAAGAGAGCTGTGGAAATTTGCCAAGATGGCTTTCATTCCGTTTTCTGCCGTCCTTATATATCAGCAAAGCATTGTAAAAGGAATCTACCCTACTGTACGAAAAGAAGAGTAAAGTAACTTAATTACAAACGGTAACTAAAAGGAAACCAATAGGAAGATGCCAACTGGCTTATTTGTATACAGCGACATCTAACAACTTCGTTCTTCTTCATACGACGCCGTTCGGACTTGTGGAGTTTACCACTTAGACAAATCGACGCCGTTTGGAGTCAGTCTTCTTCGTTAATCCTGAGTAAAAGGAAGCTTAGGATGCTCTGCAATTCTTCATCAACAGCTGCTCCATCTACCTTCCTTCACACAGTCCTTCACTGCAAAAGGTCAGTAGGTAATACTCTCCGACGGTGGCACGACCGGAGAGGGAACTAATAGGGAAGGGAAGGAACAAAGCTCGACTTTGACACGACTATGCGAAGACAGAGAGACGAGAGATTGATTGTTAATTATCACGTTCGCTGACGTCGGTATCCCAACTCCTGCGAATTCGCCGGTCTGGTCTTCTCATTCTCCCCTTCGCAGTGAAAGTGTCTGCGGTGGCGCGGAATTAATGGAATTAATTTTTTTATAATTTTTTATAATAATTAGGTGGAATATAAAAATAATTAAATATAATAATTTATTATTTTTAATTGTCACGTCACTCATTTAAGGTTAACTGTGAGAATTTACTGCCACATCAGCAAAAATTAACAAAGACTAACAGTCTGTCACCAAACTTAAATTGTTAAACTAATTTAAGTGACTACGAATGAAATAAATTAATTTTAGTGGCAAACATGAACTTTTATAGAAATTTTAGTGACCAAAGTTGCAATTTACCCTTTTATCTATATATATGTATTTAAGTTTTTTTTTCTGAATCGCTATTCGTCGCCCTAAAATTTTAAAATTATCGCCCTAAACCATACTGAATTCACGTTTATACCCTAACTCCAATTCCTAATCCCTACCGTCCCGGCAACCATGAAGATGAGAAGCTTTGTAACAAAGTGGCGCCCGCCAACCACTTGCCGCCGATGGATCTAAGGTCCATATCTGTATAGAGTAAAGGAAGAGAATGACTTGAGTTTATTAATTATTTTTAGTCTTGGAACTGATATATATTATATACAGGTGCTAAGATAGGAATCGTATAGCAGCACCAACAAACTAGGAGGAAGGTGGGTGGGTGTACTGGTGTTTGACGAGATAAGCTCGGAGTTTGGTTACTCCTAATAATCAGAAACTGGGACTCGCCGGAATCGGCAATAGTCAAAGCTTTCCCACCGTCGGACAAGTCCGATTGAACAAGCTTTGCGTAACGAATTCGCATCGGCGACGACTTGTCACCGATGGATCTAAGATCCATATCGAGAACCCTCCGACTCGACGGGATCGGCAATAATCAAAGCATTCCCATTATCGGACAAGGCTGATTGGACAAGTTTTGCGTGACGATTGGCATCCGACAACAAGTTATCGTTGATGAAACTAAGGTCATATGAGAGCAAGGTCTGACGGAATCGGCAATTGTCGAAGTTTTACATTGAACAAATACACCGCCTTCACTTGAAAATCAAATTAAACAAAGGACATTAGAGTCATTTTAATAAAAATTAGGGCGACGAATAATATATTTTAGGGCGACGAATAGCAATGCCTTTTTTTTTTTTTTTTTTTGTCATACTATATATATGTATTTAAGTTTGGTGACCAAATTGATACTTAACAAATTCAACAGTACCCTTTTTAGCTCATGCTATTGTCCGCAGGGCCGAAAGCAATAACTCAAGAATATACAAATTTTATCAAGAAAACTTGACGCCCAGATATGGCGTCACCAACTCCTCTCTTCTTCCTCTTCTTCCTCATCACAACAGCTTCATTCCCCAAGTCATCGCGAACCCAATCGATATCAGAGACCAGTAATGGAGAAGGCTTCATGGCTATGGAGCTATCGGAGAGAGGTCTTGAATTTCTCAAGGACTTGCTCATAAACAAGGCGATTGCCTCAACAATACCTCTGAAATTGCCACGGCTCGAGAAATCTGCCAAGTTTCCTTTCCTGGGCAATGTTCAGATGACGCTCACGGGCATCACAATCGATGAAATTGACGTTTTGTCGTCTTATGTTAAGCCTGGTGACACTGGCGTGGCGATTATAGCTTCTGGGATGACTTGTAATTTGAGCATGAATTGGTATTACAAGTACAGTTCCTGGCTTCTTCCTGTGGAGATTTCTGATAAGGGGAACGCTTCTGTTCAGGTGAGCCTCGGATTGATACATAGCTGATGTGTTCTTGTGCTTTGCATATGAAAAAAATGGATGAGATGGGGGAAGGTTTGAATCTTTTAGAGGGTATAGTTTGATTGCTGCTATTGTAATGCCTGAATTGGTTTATGGGGCAAGCGAGTTCTTTTATGTTGTGTGGATTGTCTCTGGACTCTGGCTTCTCAAATTTAATGACTTTTTTTTTGGTGTTGTTGATGAATTGAATTGTATTGAGAAAGAACAGCAATTAAATGACTTGTTCTGTTGGGGGAGGCAATCATCAGTCCATAAACTTACTTTTCTGATAAATAATAGGCGGGTTAAGTACCAATTTGGTCACCCAGCTCACCTATGTATTGGACAACTAAAGCACCAAACTTGGCCCTTTATCACGGTGAATATTTTCATTTTCTCGGTCAGTTTTTGCTAGCTATGTTGATGATGTGGTAGCCTCTATTGGGGAAATAAAGGCTGCCACATCAGCAACACAAGGGCTAATGAACGTAAGATGGGGGAAACGGAAATGCTACTTGTGACTTATTGCAATGAGTTTGGTGTTTAGTTAGTTTCAATATTGAGTTATTTGCCAATATGATGCATATTGAGGAGTTTGGTGATCACATCAGTTCCTCACAGCTTTGGAAGTAATCTGACTCTTCTTTGAAGGTCACAGTGGTAAATCTAGTTGTTTGCTTGAAATTGGTACTTTTATGGTAATGTTGAATATTTTTAGATATCTTTAAACTGTTATGAGTTTGGCATTATGTGTTCCATCATGATTTCATTTCTTTCTTGCTGGTAAAGGTTGAAGGAATGGAAGTTGGGCTTACATTAGGGTTGAAGAACCAGAACGGAAGCCTGAAGCTTTCAGCTATGGAGTGTGGCTGCATTGTTAGAGGTATCAAGATAAATGTGGATGGAGGAGCATCGTGGCTCTATCAAGGGTACATCAATCTCTTACTTCGTTGTTAGTCTTGGGACTGCTTTATTGATTGAATTGAAAAGTTTGATGCTTCTTTCCCTTTGTTTGTCGTACCAGAATGATCGATGCATTTGCAGGACGCATCACATCTGCAGTTGAGAGCACTATTACCAAGAATCTCAAAGATGGCATTGACAAGCTTGATGCATTTCTGCAGTCCCTTCCCAAAGAGATTCCAGTAGATAATATTGCTTCTCTGAATGTGACTTTCTTGAGTGATCCTTTGCTGACCAGCAACTCCATTCAGTTTGACATCAATGGATTGTTCATGGCAAGGCAAAATACATCATCTACATCAATGGAGTACTTCAGGAATTCACAATCATCGGTTCTCTGCTCAGATCCTTCTAAAATGCTTGGAATTGAACTGGACGAAGCTGTTTTCAATTCTGCTTGTGCACTATATTACAATGTAAGTTGCGGCACTTCATAGTTCCTACATAACACCTAATGCTACTGCTATCCATCAGGTTACTGAGCTCGTCGATATGTGATACATTGGGCCGTAAATTTGTCTTTTAAGCTACCAAGGCATTGAACTCACTCTGATGGGTTGACATTAGCAATTCCTGTCTACTTCCGTGTCAACACCTGGAACCTCTAATTATTTGGTTGGATTGACAGCCAGTTCATCATTGGATTGCTAGCATGAATGTCATTTAGGAGAGAGAAAGTTCTTGAATACCTGTATTGTCACATATATGCCAGTTCAGTGCCCAGACATGAAACTCAAGCAATGTATGACAATTTGGGCATTCAACTCACGTATATGTGACAACTTGGGTACTGATCTCAAACTTTTTCTCTCGTAAATGCTATCTATGTTTGCGATATGATGCTAACAAGGTTTTCATGTAACTGATGTTTACCACGTTATTAACGCAGAAGTGAGACAAGTGATGGAATGACTAACATTTGATCCATTCGAGTGAGTTTGATGCTCAGTGTGACTCAGTGACGAGTTCAGTGACCAAATTGGTCAACCCAATATTGTCCTGGGTTTCCAACGTAGTAGCATTTAATATAAAACTCATCAGTCATCTCTTTCTGTTATAAAACTGTTGGCAATTCTTACCTCTGGGAGCAGGCAAAATTCATGCAGTGGATTGTGGACAAAATCCCAGATCAAGCTCTTCTGAACACAGCTGGATGGAGATTCATCGCTCCGAAACTATACAAGAAGTACCCAAATGACGACATGAACTTAAACATCTCCTTGTCCTCCCCTCCGGTGATTAGTGTTTCGGAGCAAAAGATCGACGCAACAGTAAATGCAGCATTGATCATCAACGTATTGGAAGCGAATCAAGCAATACCAGTTGCTTGTGTTTCTTTTGTAAGCTCAAACTATTGGTGGTAAAACATGTTATCAACGCTTTTGAACTATTTTGCTGAGTTTTGTGTATTTTGCTTTTGTTACGATGGCAGGAAGTTAGTGGGTCGGCTTCAGTGAGGATCTCGGGGAACAACCTGGCGGGGAGCATGAAACTGGACGGCTTCACAATGATCCAGAACTGGAGTGATGTTGGCAATCTTCCATTGTTTGTCATTCAGGTAGGATCGTGATAGTTTGGCCACTCTTAGTCTAGGTCTAACTATATATTTAGTTAGGAGATAAAAGACTCGAAACTTTGACTGCCATCAATGTTGCAACATGATAACACCTTTCCTTCTCGTTTACTACTGGCAGCCAGTGATGTGGACAGCCATAGAAACGGTGTTCTTGCCGTATGTGAATGCACATCTCGCACAGGGGATCCCGTTGCCTATCGTCCATGGATTTGCCCTGCAGAATGCAGAGACCGTCACTACAAGCTCGAAGATCACGGTCTGTGGAGATGTGGCGTATAGGGATGATAAACAGAGAACTGAACTCCATATTTAGAGTTCTGGTAGTTCGTGTGGAACCGAATTCTCGACAAAAAGGCATGTTTTACTACTAGGTGGGGAGCTATGTTAAAACCCCAAGTAGTAAAATGACACTAAAGGTAGAATGGTTGTTCACAGAGAAGATGTTGTTAATGATGTGTAAATGTTACACACTAGCTAGTTCTCTGTATAGATAAGTACATGTCATTGTAGGAATAAAGAACGAGTAAATGTAAATAAATACCTCTGTCTTGCTTTAACTTATGTATTGTTTTTCAAAACAAAATATAAATAGAACGAGTAACGTAAATACCTTTGTCTTGTCTCTTTTGTTAAGTAGTGAGTTTTAATTAGAGATGACAATGGGTCGGGTCGGTGGTAAATAGTACATATTCGTTAATCTATCCAAAATAGTTCGGATTTTACTTATAACCATATAAGAAACAGGTAGAAAATCAAAACCATGTCCATACCCTTTCGGTTTTGGGTACCCATGTTCACACGTATTCTCACATTATATAAAAGAAAAAGTACGATAATAATTCACTAGGATGATGAAAATTAATAAAAGTAACATAATTTCATGGAAATACTATATTTATATGCTTAATAAAAATATGTTAGAGAAAAATAATGATTATTTCTAGACAAAATACACATGCATGTGTATAATCAGGCGGGCTCGGGTTGGATAGTGAAAAAATCATGCCCACTCATTACTCGCAATATTCGGGTTCGGGTTTACCTGTACCCACTAAAAGTCTTTCGAGTTCGAGTTTTACCCTACTCGACTAGGTCGAATTCGAGCAGATATCCACGGTTACAGATACTTTTGCCATCCCTAGTTTTAATGTTATGAATGAATGAACTTGTTATATGGAAAAAAAAAAATATATTGTCGTGTTTTAACTTATGATATTGTTTTGGCAAAATACATCTGTGTAGCCAAAACTTTCACGTTAGTGACAATAATAGTCATTTTTGGCGAAATACCAGAAATAGCCAGAATTTGAAATGTTATATGATAAATCTAGCCATTTCCGTTAGATACTTTAACGGTGTTAAGAATTCCGTCCATTAGATTAACGGTAAGCTGACTAGATTGCCAAATAGTTACCACGTCAGAGACAATTACATGCCATGTCATTATTTACTTTAAAAATAATTTAATAAAAAAATTACAAAAGAAAACCCCTTAGAGTTCTACTCCCTCGGTGCCTCTTCTTCCCCTATTTTTCCGCCGCCGCTGTGAATTAACACTCTTCTTCGCCATTGTGTGAACAACCAGATCTCTTAGAAGGTCTGATTCCTCCTCCTTGGAGCTCTCTAAATTTCTCACTCGATCAATAGCTTGGTTCCTTCTCTTCCCTCTCCTCCTCACCCTCCTCGTCTCCATTTCCCCCGCCAAGATCCGCTTCTCGGAGCTCAACGTCTCCAAGATCCAACGACGGCAGTAGTGAGAAAGACGGATTTGGAAACTTTCATGTCTTTGAGATTCGAGACTCATGAACCCAAGGTCAGATTCACGCAAAGCATTAAAATTACCGTCAGCAGCAATGAAATGGAAGAAGAAGCGAAGAACAGGGATATGGCCCAATGGCACCGACGCGGCGGCCATCGAACCCTTACTGAATGAATTTAGATCTGCCATCGATTTCGAATCGGAAAACTCAAACCATTTGAAGCTATCATGACAGTTCGTCGCACCCTGAATTTTGAATCCCTCAGCTACCCAGTTCAATCCATGGCGAGGAATTTGGATTGGATGAATCTCTTTGCATCCGATTACCAACAGCCTCGGTGCATTTCGGTCCTACCGCTACCACGGTGGCGTGTCTTGAATCTATCACAGGTGTGAAACGAGAAGCTATGCCGTTGGGCGACCAGCTTTCTCTGCTGTGTGGGGGAGCTGGGGGTATAAAGGGTGGATGATTGACAGCGGCTAAGATGGGTTCGTATACCACCACGAGTAAAGCAAATCCAAGAAATCAAATAAATCCCATCTCGAACCGTAGAAGCATATAAAAAAATCCCTCTGTGTCACTTCTCTGCCGCTTCATTTCCTTCCGCTTCATCTTCTTCCTCCCATCATCTTCTTCCTCAACGCCAGACCTGGAAAATGGAGATGGAGTTCAATTTTTTGGAGATAAGTGGTTTGGGAATGATTTTGGTTTTGGCTGATGAAATCGGATGGTCAAAACGAAGTTGGGACAAAAGGTTGAGGAGGAGGCCAGGAGGGAGGAGGTAGAGGTGATGGCTACCGGCAGTGGAGGTGGGGAGAAAGGCGATGAGAGAGAGGGAAGGATGGGAAGATATATTATTTGGTTTATTTATTATTTGTTTTATTTATGGATTTTTTTCCATTCATCCACGTGGATGAAATGTCGCCAAGTCAGCTTTTACAATTAGTCCAGTCAGTCTGTTAGTTGACACTGTTAAAGTATTAGATGGAATTGGCTAGGGATGGCAACAAAACCCGAACCCACGGGTACCCACCCGACCCAACCCGGTCAACGCGAGTAAAACCCGTGTTGACGGGTTTTGGGCCGGGTTTGGGTTTAAACCCGCTACACTATTCACCGGGTCGGGTTTGGGTTTAGCTAAACCCGACCCATGGGTACACGCCCACACATATAATTACTTTCCTGGTATATTTAATATTCTAAATAATATATCTTCCTTAAAAAATTAATATTCTTTATGTTTGTGGAGAGATGTATAATATGTTCTTTCTAATTGTTTAGAATGAAGTTGATATTATGAAGTGGAGAGTGAAGAAATCCAGTTGACGAGGAAGAAGTTTTCAATTAATCTTTTGCTTATAGATGTTTATCTTTAATTTTGAACAATTTGTATTGATCATTTGCGGTTTGCTTGTATGCTCTAGATGTTAAACTTTTATTTTGAAAGAAACTTGTTATTGTAAATTTTTTACCATAAAAACCCACGGGTACCCATGAAGCCGCGGATACCCAACGGGTTGGGTTTGAGTTTTTCAAACCCAGCGGGTTTTACCCCGGGTTTTTTTGGCGGATAAACCCATGAGTTTGGGTTTGACAAAACCCGCCCCAACCCGACCCATTGCCAATCCTAGAATTGACTATAAGTGGTATTTCGCCAAATTTGGTTATTATTGGCACAAACGTCAAAATTTTGGCTATACAAGTGTATTTTACCTATTATTTTTTAAGAACAAATTTAAATTAACACTTCTAAAGATCAAAATCTCACATCTTTTCTATTTCAGTTAAGTATGAGTTAATGTTAACAACAAATTCTAGAACCCCAACCAATGTACTACTCAATCAATTTAGTAAAACTTGGTAGCCCAACTAAATTCCATATAGCTGCTCTCCTAATCCACCACCATTTCCTCTTCTCCTCCTCACTGTAGAAGTCTATTGCTCGCGCATATTTGTCTTCACTAGTTCAATACATTCCATCCCATAAGTTCAGTGATGTGTAAACAACAGTTGTAAGACGATTACAGCATAGCATAGCTGATATTAATTTAGTCAATTGTGACTTTTAATCACATCAGATTTAATTGAGCCCAAGCATGTTTGACTTCTAATAACGTTTACAAATTACAATGGATGTGTGACAGTGGACTTCAGCTACTAACAATTTAGTGATGGATATCGCTCCCTGAAGAACAACAGATGTACCATCAACAATTGGATTACTTGTATTCCACCCGAAAGAGTTACATATTCGAAGATTACAGCTCTAAAGGAAACTAGATTTGGTGCCGGCCCATTGATCGGATACTTTTCATTAATGGGGAACAACAATAACAATATTTGATGAAATTACATTTTATTTATATAGGAAAAGAACCCAAATTGTCTAACTATTGGAATAAAAAATTAGTATAAAACTTAATTTTTGGTTGGTAGAGTTTATCTTATTCAAGTCATGAACATTATCATATATTCACTCTTTTTCCACTATCATGGATGTCAACCCAGTTTGGCCCGTTGACAGGGCTGAGCCAAGTGGGTTAAGATTTAATGATCGAATCGTTTAGCCCTGTTTATCTTGAATATGTGTAAAAAAATTATTATATTATGAACGTATATATAAATTAAATCAGGTTTACACATGATAAAAACATTTAACATTACACCAAAATAATAGTTTATAGTTGAGTAATAACATAGAATCAAACAATTCACATATCTAAGTTGAACATATAACATCGATATTTTAATATTCATATTTACATATAACATTTAATATAATATTAAAAGTCATTATAAAGTCAAATGATTCGGACCTAATCTCCCAAAAGGTGTGGTTTTACGCAAGGTTTCTTGTGTTTCGATGTGTTTCAGATCCTAACAGGTGAAACCAACCCAAGAGTCGAAAGTTGGAAGAAAAGGAGCAAAGACCGGGCAAATAGGAGGAAACAACGTGTGTTCACGGTCTGCCATTGGAGTTCACGGTCTCTAGGACCGTGAACGGGGGATTTTGAGGTTACTGACGCCAAGGCTGTTCACGGTCTCTAAGACGTGAACTGCAACCACAAACAGTGAACCCAAGAAGTGAAGTTGTGCGTTTTGGTTCAACACACTGAGTTCACGGACGCGTTTTGATGTTCACACCCATGAACTCAGGCCGTAAACTGGGCACGATCTCACTATAAAAGGCCAGTTGAAAGGAAGAAGAGGGGGGAGACCTAGTGTGAGAAACTTCTTCTTCTTCTTCAGATTTTTAGAATGAGAAAGTGACGAACCAAAGAAGAGGAGAAGCTAGGGTTTCATCTCCAAGCAAGGATTTGGGAATTCCTCCGCCAAAGGAGGATCTATTCAACACAAAGAGCAAGGCTAGCATCTTTTTGATGGTTTTCTTTCTTCTCCCTTGTGTTTTCCCTTCTCCTAGCATGGAGTAGTCCCTTCTTTCACTTGGGTGTTTGTAAACCCTAGCTACAATTATGTGAATGATTGTATGAATTGAATGATTTGTGTGTGGTTGTGTTTTATGTGAACGTGGAGGTATTATTCATGAATGATTGTGTTGTGTTGTGTGAAAGCCTATCAATCTAATTGCCATTCTAACCTAGGTAGAGAGAAAACCCCCTTTCCTTTCTTTGAAAGAGACTTGAATGCTGGGTTTTCTTAGGCAATTCATTGTCTCCTAGTTAGGTTAATGCAGGGCAAACCTCCTATTCCGTATTAGCACTTAGGGTTTGGTTGTGGGTGGTCGTTCGAACTCCAGTTCGAGGGTGAAGTCTAACCAATCCTTAGTCAATAGGTTGAGAGAGTCGCATTAGTGTCTTGGATCGTATCCCCTTTCCTCGACCTAGAGACTA